ACTCAGCATTATTATTTTTGGCCCATAATACGTTTTTCTAGTGTATAATCATGTCTTTATAGCTTATAATTCAATGTATTTTGTTAATTACAAAAAAATTATATTTTTTCGTATTTTTACTCTTCTTTCTCTACATTTTTAGGGAACTTTCAAACAAGTTATGAATCTTTGGATTCTATCACGTGAAAAAGCATCTCATCTTCCATCCGAATCAACTAAAAAGTGAAAATTGATTTTTGACACCTAAGCCCCCTTTCCGTAGACCAGGTCACATATAATAATTTGCAATCGTAATAAATGTTGGGTGATTTAATTTAAATGCTCAATTACTTTGTTCCATCTGGCCACAATGAAAAATGTTACAAAAACGCTTATTTTCAACGCTTTTGTGGGTAGAAGTTAAAAAAACATGTAGCGGCAGTAAAAGAAATAGAAAGTAATAGTTGATTATAGGAAATTAAATGAAACACAATCGATAATAAGTTTTCAATTCCGAATTTAGAAGATATTTTAGTTAAATTTGGGAGATGACCATATTATACAGAAAAAGTTATGGTGTTTTGGAACTAAAGTTACTAAGAGCAGAAAAACAAATTAAAACGTTTTTTGAAATTACCTTTAATTTATAAAAGGTTACGCAAAGGTAACAAAAGGATTCGGATTTGAGAGAATGAATTAGGCTAAGGCTGCATATAAATGCGAAATTTGAATTTAATAAAGCGGATTAAATTTTGTCTTTTATTCTAAAATTCGTTCTGCGCCCAATATTCGATTGATCCTCCCAACGTAGTCTGGAAACATTAGTAACTCTTGTGTGGAGCCTGGGTTACGGCTAAAAGAGAGGAAGTTTCAGCGGAGTCTCTCCGACATATTCAGTTTAAGGGTTAGCCGAAGTCTAATTTCAGCGGTGCGGCTGCGAGCGGGCGTCGGCCTTGAAACAACGGAACGCTATATAAATCTGTACAAAACTATATAAGACTCGCTTAGCGAGGTTGAGTGCTGGGTTTGGGACCTACATCTTAAAAGTCAATTGCCAATGAAAAAGAAAGTACAGCCTTGGATGAGAGATCCTACGTTTGATGTTAATCACAGCAAACTTAATACGAACTATGATTTAAGGGCATTCACCTGGAATGTCCGGCGGTTTATTTGGGAAAGTGCCGCTGCCCATCAATACATTGATACTAAGCGGAGTTTCAATCTATTGCTTGAGCAAATATTACGAGCAGTGGAACACCACCCAATATTTTTTACGGTCGCTTGGACGATGAGAAGACCAAAATGCTAAAAATTTTAAAAGAGTACAGCGCGTAAATGGACGAAATCAAAGAAAAATCACGTCGACTTCCAATGTAACACAATTCTAAATTCGATCTGATTCTTTCTTTTTCCAGCATACAAATAAGGAACCAATCAGTGCCTTTGATGTGTTTTACCTTATGACAAACTGTAGTCACAATCAGACTAAAACTATTCGAATCCTCAATTACCGAATATGTTATGTGGATACCATTTCCAATTTATCCTGACAATATTCCACAGTATGAAATATTCGGTTACACTCGAACATAGCTCTTTCTTACTTGTTAGTTTATATCAACATGTTTATTGACACTTTAAACAATTAAAATAAGGAACTGAATATTAAAGTGTATGTATAACAGTTTAGAAGTGAAGTATATCATTAAAAAACTTCAGGCAAGCAAACCACATAAATTTAAAAATAAACAAAGAGCAAACTCTAATTACTTCAATGATCTTTAAAGATTTATTTAACTTACCTTTGGATTTAAGCCCGATCCTTGCCGAAGAAATGTTCCCGTTATAAACCAAAAGCTGTTTGAAACGGAGAATTGATTTTCAACTATATCGGATTCTTTCATGCAAGGATGTGGATTGTTCCACTCATATGGTGAAAATCGGGCCATCACGAATAAAGTAAGTGAAACAAGGATGTAAGCGGTAAGCACATACAACCAAATTTCCATTGCCAATGGATTCATGAAGGAAAAAAGTCGTGTAGGCTGGCTGGTAGGAACCTAAGGAAATTTGAAATTTTGTTATGCCACCTTTAAAAATTGTAGGTAAATTTCACGATACAATTATATAAAATGTTATAAATGTTATACTGTAGTATGTAGACGTAATTTTATATTAAGGAATATCACAATACCGTAAATAATTTTTAACAGTACTAGGTATTCCGAATTTGCGCAAAGTTTATGTATAATATTCTTCTTCTTCTTAATTGGCGTAGACACCGCTTACGCGATTATAGCCGAGTTAACAACAGCGCGCCAGTCGTTTCTTCTTTTCGCTACGTGGCGCCA